ATCGGGTCATCTTGTGTTTAGCACGTTTGGGGTTAGGAGGCTGAAGTAGGCATAGATTAATTTGCTTGATTTCACCCTAGGCTTTGCAAGTCCGAAAATCGGGTCATCTTGTTTTAGCACGTTCGGGGTTAGGAGGCTGAAGTAGGCATAGATTAATTTGCTTGATTTCACCCTAGGCTTTGCAAGTCCGAAAATCGGATCATCTTGTTTTAGCACGTTTGGGGTTAGGAGGCTGAAGTAGGCATAGATTAATTTGTTTGATTTCACCCTAGGCTTTGCAAGTCCGAAAATCGGGTCATCTTGTTTTAGCACGTTTGGGGTTAGGAGGCTGAAGTAGGCATAGATTAATTTGCTTGATTTCACCCTAGGCTTTGCAAGTCCGAAAATCGGGTCATCTTGTTTTAGCACGTTTGGGGTTAGGAGGCTGAAGTAGGCATAGATTAATTTGCTTGATTTCACCCTAGGCTTTGCAAGTGGAAAATCGGGTCATCTTGTTTTAGCACGTTTGGGGTTAGGAGGCTGAAGTAGGCATAGATTAATTTGCTTGATTTCACCTAGGCTTTGCAAGTCCGAAAATCGGGTCATCTTGTTTTAGCACGTTTGGGGTTAGGAGGCTGAAGTAGGCATAGATTAATTTGCTTGATTTCACCCTAGGCTTTGCAAGTCCGAAAATCGGGTCATCTTGTTTTAGCACGTTTGGGGTTAGGAGGCTGAAGTAGGCATAGATTAATTTGCTTGATTTCACCCTAGGCTTTGCAAGTCCGAAAATCGGGTCATCTTGTTTTAGCACGTTTGGGGTTAGGAGGCTGAAGTAGGCATATCATGAGGCTGACCAGAGCAGCGCACTTGGCAAGCCCCGAGCTGCACTGGAGTCCTCCAATCTTTCTGCACGCCGCTCTTCCTGGGGTTGGCCCGAGTGCCGTAAAAATTGCACAAGGCTGAGGCCCTACCAAATTCACCGGCACCCTGCGTGGACCCATGCAGCCCATGCATGAGCTTTCTTGGCAATGGAGCAAAGCCATGAACATTGTCAGGGCTTGGCATGGCTGATCAAGCAGGCTATGGTTTTCAGAGTTCCGCGTCAGGAGGCGAGCAGACAGGACTGGGCAAAGGGGCTGGGCAAGCATCGTATTGTGCTGGCATTGTTTTTGTTTTGTGGCAACTTGATGATGGAGATTGTGTGTTTAGCCGGCTCTTTATTGCATCTTCATTGCTGCTTTGATTGGTTATTGTGTGTTGAACAAGGCATTCAATTGCAATGTTCGTCCACTAAGATGTTGACAAAGTTCAGCCTCAGTGCTGGCGTCCTCGCCTAAGCTCATGGTGACAGCGCTTGCAGGCTGATGCCCGTGCGATTTCGTTCCAAAACGTCTGTACGAGAGTAACTGCCTGAGTGATATTCTCCCGATAGAAAGCATGGGCACCTTCGTAGCTCTGGGCAGGCAAAATCTGCTTTGTTATTGTTTGTGGTGCCGGTGGCTGGCTGGGTGGCTGGGTCGCTTGGTCGCTGGGTCGCTGGCCTGTTGCCCGCTTGATTGCTTGCGTGCGTGCTTGCTTGCTTGTCAAACTTGACAATTGCTGGGTGAACTCTCCAAAACTGGGGCATGTGCATACTATGAATCTGAACGTTTTTTTTTGGAGATTGCAGACACCATGATACCATAGCCAGGTTGTCCTCTTTTGGGGCTCCGGCCAGCAGCAGAAGCGAACTTCTAGTTTCCGGCATTTGTTGGACATGGGGTCCAAGGATGAAGCAAGGCGCTGATGTGCACGTCTTGCCAGGAAAGGCTGCGCGCCTGCTTCTTTGAGGGAGCTGGCCCTTAAGGGGCCCTGTCTATCAGAGATGCTCAGCAGGCACCATCATAGCCTCCAAGCGCGGGAGATACAGAGTAGAGTTGTCTCACCACGCCGCAAAAAGCGGCGGTCAAATTCGATGCAACGCAAATGCCTCGGCATGGATCTCGACTTGGCTGCGTGCACTCATCAGGGAGTCGTGCAGTTCTTGTTCTCGACATGTCGGTGGACAGTACGGCAGCAGGAATACAGAGCAACTGAGGCAACAGACCTCGTGTTATTTTCGGCAACCCACCCCCGGCGAAGCAGGAGTCCTGCTGTAGAGTCCACTGTCCATTTGGGCCGCAGGCTCGAGTCGGTGATCCAATGATTTGGCGTGAAGCAGCAGGCCACAGAGGCGCGCCTGGAGGTCTTGAAGTAGGTTTGCTAATGTAGTTGACGCCGGTGAGACGCCTGCGGAAGACGAGATGCGGTCAAAGCCAAGGCTGCCAAAAAGGGGCCTCTCGGGAACTACCTTTGGCTCATTCGAGGTTGTCAGTGATTTGCAGATTCTTCTGACTCATTGTCTTGACTGAATTGCTTATGTTAGCTTGCTAATCAGCAGCTGACCTTCTGGCACCACATTATCGACTCCAGTCCTTTTTGGTTTTGTTTGTCCCCCTTTCTGGCCAACGAGTCTTTTACAACAGCAGCAAGATGCACAGCAAAGTACCCTTTTGTTTGATGTGTTTTGCATGCATTATGGTGAATCCCAATGACATCTCAGTTCCTTGCCTGCCATACATAGTGGATTTCGGATCAGGCCCGCATAAACGGTCACCACTTTGTCAAAGCAGCAAATGGAGGCACACTACGCCTTGCTTCCCTTTTTGGGAACGCTTTGATTGCAAGAGGTTGGAGCAGGAGTGACGCAACTTGATTTTGAATGAAGCATCCGTGTTTCTCTGATTACATGCAACTGTGGAAGCCATGATGCTATCTATTTTTTTACGATAGGCCTGGTGCATGAGACCCAACATCAATTTCGTAAATCTGAATAAGACACGACTCTTGCTGATGTAATTGCTTCATGTTCAGACATGTCCACCCCGTTGACGTCTTGAGGTATGAAACAAAGCTTTGACCACCAACCTAACAGGGTATCCAAATTCAGTGTAAGAGTCCAGCAAGAGCCAACAGCTCGACCTATGGAGGCCACAGATCAGATGCATTTTCCGGTTTGACGCCTGTTATGTATGACTAGCATGCTTGAGATTGGACGCCTTAGTCGGTCTAGGGTCAGATGGGTCTTGCAGGATGCTTGCACATCTCTAGCCTATACTTCCGGTGTAACGTGTGTAAAACACGGGGAGGCTGACATGCATGGGCAGGAAGACGTGTTCTGCGTGCGAGAATCATGCAGCGAATGCATCACAAACCCTTGTGCTGGAGTCGGACAGCAGGATTGCTTTGTCTTTTTTGCAGACCCCTTTTCCTTCGCTGGTTCTCGTCATGTTCCCACTGACCAACAATAGATCTACTGCAGGGTTCTCAGCCTGGGTCAAGTTGCATCTGCCCTGCAAGACTTGCTGCATGTGATTGGTTTTCAAGGGGCGCGCAACAGCTCGCAAGTGTGCAGCCACATGGTACTGAGGGCAACAGCCTTGAGAGATGGACATGTCTTTTCAGGCCCGGAAGGCACATGAGCCTTATCAGCTGTGTGTAAGGTCTTCTTAGCCTGTTGGGTGAGGTGGCGACATACAGTGTTGCAGCAACAATCCTCGCCCCAGCAGCAGCAGCGGCGGCGGCGGCAGCAGCAGCAGCAGCAAATAGAACGACAGCAGCAACAACAGCCAGTGACACACACACACACAATATCATAGGTAAATAATTCATGCACAATCGTGTTTTGCAACCCTTCGTCACTGTGACACTGGGTGAGTTGGCTTGACTGTGGCGATGCCGCTTCCATGACCCAAGGCTGTGGGGCAAGCTGAGTTCTACGCTTCTTGCGCTTGATTTCGCCTTTTATCCTAGACTTGTGCAGGGCATGTGTTCTGCGAACTAGCGGGAGTTAATGTTAGCAGGCAGTGCAGTGGCATCAGTGAATCGAGGCAATCCCAGTACATAGTTGTCGTCAACTTGCTTGACCGGAGGTAAGGCGAATTATCAACATGCTTAACCACATACTATATACTTATGCTTGTGCATGACTCCAGACATGTGTTTTCAGCTTGAGATTCTTCACGGCATCCTTGATGTTTATTTCCAGGAAAGGCGAGGGTCAAAGTCGCGACTGTCCACTCCTTGAGCGAGAGCACCAGGAAGGCAAAACGATGGGATCAGTCCACTGCGGGCATCACCTTGGACGCCATGTCGAGGGGTTTCCCACGGTGTAGCTGAAATTTTGGGGGTGACACCATGTACTTAATCCAAAGCCAGAAAACTGGTACGGCTAGTGACCCCACACCACTTATTCCAACTTCGCTGGAAGAAGCCCAGCATACTTGAAGCAGTGCGAATCAAACTTCAAGTTAGTTTTGGCAAGCCAGTCCTGGAACACTATCCGAGCAGAACTAAGCTTTCGCCCGGTCCATGACTTCACGAGGCCGAGTCACGTTTGAGCTAAACATGCCTGCTGTCAGGGGTTGCATGTTTGTAAGGTGTTCCCATTGGAGGCATGCCCAAATCTCGTGTTGGGCGTTTCAAGCGGCCGGGAAAAACGTCCCCAGCTCGCTAGCTGGTTTGGACGACCTTGGGGATTTGGGCGTTCGGAAATGGACCGGCTGGCATTGCCTCAACAAGCACTCGCCTTCACAGCTTGTGGTTTTGCAGCATCTAGTAGGTAGCTCAGTTTGGTGACAGGCATGTCTGTTGCATGCCGCATAAGACCTTCCAACTCAACCAGGGTGCCGCAAAGCCATCCCGTAGGCGAGTCAGGCTGCTGAGATTTCAAAAGATGAATTGACACCATCATTTGGCGTCGCTGATTGTTTGGTCTCTCCCTTGTCTCCAGGCACGTGAGGACGGTTAACTCACGGTCTACACTTGTTTCACTGAGGCATTGGGCATGCCTCATTTGTTTGTGTTTAGGGTGTTCCGCCTTTGCTCAGTGATGTGCTGATGGCAAAGTGTTCGTGCCCATGCCCATAACTTGGAGTTGATACTCGCGATTACACTGTAGCTTCACCACTTCAATCATGATCTTGCTCCGGGATCGCGCGCCCTGGCTCCAGTGCTGTTCTTAGCAATGATTCGTCTCACCAAAGGGTGAGGGGTCCATGTCTGACGCCAAGGCGCGTGTCCAGGATGAATGTGCGAAAACGAGAGCTTTTGCTCCCTGTTTGAAGTCTCAAACACGCTGCAAGCTGGGCGGCATGATGACCTGCCCCGGGTTATGTTTGATCCACTTGTGTAGAGCCACACTAACTCCCCAAGCCATGAATTTATTGGCGCAGGCTGCTAGTCATTTCCCTGCATTGATATGTTCAGCAGACTTGCTTCTTGCCATTTCCCAGGAAGGCCATGATTGGTTGCTGGACTTTTCTAAACGGACCAAGGCGGCTACTACTAACAAACGGTCAATCTGCAAACACACACAACTTGTTGATCAGAGGAATCCTCCATGATTAGATTAGATTAATAAATTTTGAATTTGTTTCCGGGTCTTATCTAGCTTAATATTGAAAGTTGACACTCTATATATATATATATATACATAGATGAAAAGCACATGTATCACATACATATATATATATACATGTCATTGCTTGTGAGCTTTCCTCCGTTGTCTAGTGGCAATCTGCCTCTGGCTTGCAGGCCCAAGGGTCCTCGGCGGCAGTTGTGGACTTCCTCTATGCCGCGCTGCAAGCAGCATTTTGGCTGCCCAATGGTCACAGGGGATGGTTGCGCCCCAACGACTCCAAGTGCGCAGGCTTTGTGAACGTTTACTCGGCTTTGAATGTTCACAGGGTCAATGTAGAGGTTGCGTTGTTGCCGGCAGCCCAGGGAACAAGTTTTTGCTTTTTGGAACGAAAGCCACAGCATGTTGTGCATAATGCGAAAGGATGATGCAATGATGCTGTTGGGACCCGCCCATGCTATCAATCTAAACGCGTCTTGGAATACCTCTCAACCCGCTATCATACTTCACCTCTTGAAAGCATGGCCCCTTCAAAGGGAGGAGGTTTTGTTTGACCCAGTAGATGCTTCAATCAGCCAGGCTCCTGCTGGTGCAAACAAGTTTGCAGGGGAAGCGCAAGTTTGTTGGTTTCTTGCGACGTGTTTCAAGTATGTCGGAGTGGCCACAGCTCGCAAACGCTTAGGCAAAAGAGTGGATTCTTATGGCCCATGGCGGCACAAAGCATTGCAGCATGATGGATCAGGTGATTCCACGGAGTTTGGCAGGCTTGAGGGGGGTTGATCAAAGAGCGGGCGTGTTTGCCGAACAGTTTGTGGCTGAGCAGGGAGGTTCGAGGCAGAGGGACTAGGTTTGGTGCGTTTCTCAGGACCCGCGCTTTGCAAACTTCCTCCCGGCTGACCAGGACGATCCGGTTTGTTGATCATAGGTCGGCATCAAGAATCTTGAAGATCAACATTTGAGTTGGAGCTTCGGTAGGGCCCTCATCCAACACCCTTTCTCCTTCATCAGCTCGACTGCCTGCGTTGTTTCTTTGGAGTTAGCTTGTCTGATGGCAAAGCCGAGCACGAGCTGGAAGAGCGGTCTTGTTGATTGCGCCCGGTCAGGTTCCCTTGGCGAGATTGCGCCCTTTGCAAGATAGGAATCAGCTAAGCCGTTGGTAGTGGAGGCCTTGTTCTCTCTCCCATCCAGGATGATGTCACGCTAGAGCTGCAGTCCTTCTTGGAAGATGCCTTCGACGAATCCTTTCCAGAGCCACTTGGAAGCGTGCTGAACATGGCCTGGCCCTGCAAGGGCCACATTTTGCGGGAGCCTGGCGTTCAGCGTTCGCTTTCCTTTACTCCCCGAAAGGGCTGTGTTTCAAAACAGCTGGCTGCTGGAGGGATTGCATGGTTCATCATGTTTTCTGGCAGGGCAGGCGACCAGCAAGCTTTGATTTGCTGCAAGTCTCAATGCTGAAGCGCGTCAAACCATTCGCTGCATTCGCTGATCCCTCGTGCGTTTCCTCTTCCCTTAAGAGGGAAGGGCAGACACTCTCATGCCATCTCACGGCCGCATTTGAGGATTGGCTTGTGCCTGGCCTGGGTTGCTTTGGCTGTTTACTTGAAACCGCCGAGACGTGCACTGGTTGCGGGTGCTGCCAACCGCTAACTAAGGTTTGACGTGCTCGAGCTCGGCCCGCCAACGGTGCTGCTGGACGTGCTGGCAGAGGGCCTCGTGATCCTGGCCTGCAGTCAGTCGGGCCGGGCCGAATCTTAAATCTGAACTGTTAAACAATGAAGCTTCCAAACAACTGTAGGAACATCAGGAAGATTGCTGCTTTGCCATTGCATCCAAACAGGGTTCTGTTTCATTTCCACCTTATCCTTGTCAGTGTGTTTGTGTCCGCTGGCGTTGTTACACCTAGAAACACCTTCAACAAGGACGTCAAAGTGAATCCAAGCATGCTGGCATTTGCCGGCACTTGCCTTGGCCACGCTCGACATGTGTTTCTGCAAAAATGGATGGCTTGCTTTAACACAATCCCTTCCCAAATCCTACATGGGGACATCCCCCCCAGGCATCCCCAGGCGCAGGCGGAGTGTCAAGCACTTTTGGCAAGACTTTTGCTCCACCAGGTAGGTAAATATTTAAACGAAAGTGGTTTGTGCCTACGAAGTATGGCGCAAACTACTACCTCCTGCAGATCAAAAGAAGCACCAGGGAAGTGTTTTGGGCTAAGCTGGTGGAGGAGGTGGGGTGACTAAATCTCCCCCCAGCTCAGCTTGCTTTTGTCGTGCGTGGCTCTCGGAGCTTTACGCCACGCGTATGACATCCTGAACTCCCTGCTGGTGGCGCTTTTGTTGTGGCATTCGTCATTTGACAAGACGAAAGTGACATAGGGGAATATGACCCCTTATTTTAGGGGTCATTTGACCTTTAGAGGTCATTTAGAAATTTAAGGGCTTGCGCACCGTGTGTTGTCTGAAGCAGTTTGCGCAGAAAAGCCATATGTCAAAGCTCACACCCCAGGAAAAGACTTTGGTAACCATGACATATCACCCCACAAATTGAACACGACGCCCCACTTTGGCACCCTTTCTCCTGAAGCTGCATCACACTTGGGCTTTCGCATCTCGGATGCAAGGGAACCAACCTCCAGAGCCTTTGGCAACCATGGCTGTACTCATGCTCTAGCCGATAGGAGGTGGGCCGGAAGCCCTCCCAAAATCCTTCCAGCCATACGGTCCTGCCACTGCTTGACAGGCTTCCCATGTTCTCACAATGAATGTAGTACATTCCAGATTCAGATAGTAAGGCAGTTGTTGGTTGACATGTGCAGTTTTTGGACTTTTGTCCATCAACCTCTCCTGGGTTTGTGGCTGTCTCGAATCAAGGGGCCCTTGCACAACTCAGCAGCTTTGTCGGTCTTCAATCCTTCTGTTACCCCATCCACAAAAACACCTCTCCCCATCAATCAACAATGGCTTGACGTGTTCGGGTCCAAAGATGTCCAAGGCACAAGGCCATTCACGCATGCAACGCGTTATTTTACAGAGATCCCGTTCTTTCAGAGAGCTTGCAACACACCCTGTGATGCACATACCCCGGCCTCCGATTCATGAGTTGAGGAAACTGGATGTACGTGGTTACTGCTGAGGGGTTACAATCACCCTTTTGAGCATAATCATGACGGTGTGTATCATAGTAATTCACCCGGAAAAAAGGAGACATTTGTAGAGAAGCTTCCCGGGCTCGGACTTGTTTGGCTCTTTCTTCTAATTTCCAGGAGGTAGCCTTCTGTATTGTGGACGCTTACTTGGGCTCGGCTTGATGTTTCGCAACTGCCTTCTTCAGAGTATTGCTCTGTTTTCGATGTTCAGGCTACACACTGGCCGTGGATTGAAATGGGGAGGAACATCAAGCATGGGTATGTAATCCCAAAGCATCTAAGTGTCATATGTGCTCCCTTTAGACTCGCCTGAAAGGAGTACCATCGACACCCTCAGGAGGTCCACGAGCCCCGGCACTGCTTTGGTGGTCGCCGCTTCCCTGCTGCGAACGGAGCTGCGCAGGGTGCGGGCTGCCCAGCGGGGGGTTGGGGGGGTGGGGGGGAGGTTGGGTCGGGGCGAGGGGGGGAGGGGGTGGGATGAGGTGGGATGGGGTGGGATGGGGTGGGATGGGGTGGGATGGGGTGGGATGGGAAGGGATGGGGTGGGATGGGGTGGGATGGGGTGGGATGGAGGGGGGAACTTGAAAAGAACTGGAAAAGGATTTTCCTTTGACGACCCTTTTTCACAATCCATTTCCATTGGGATATTGAGGAGGGTATCAGTATAGTCATGTCCGGCATGTCCGGCATGCCATGTGGTATATGCCTAATCAACAGATTAAAGGGGCTGATTTCAATGGCGTGGCGCTTTCTTTCATAGGAATGGCCCTAGCCAGAATGTGTGGGAACATTTCAAGGGCAACATAGTCCATGCTCTTTCCTTTTGCAACTGTTGTCTACTAGTGTTTTTGTGTTTGGAGCTGGTTTGAAACTAGCGAGGGCTTCAAGAACCTGTAAAAATGTCGTACCCTGACCATAACATTGTGTTTGTCACGATTTTCTGAAAACAATGTGCTTTCAAAAAAGAAACACTGTGTTTTTTATAAAACCCTTAAACATTGGCTTCTGAGGCCAAACACTCATTTGGAGCAAAGGGGCAAAGGCAAGGGTCAGGAGTGGAATTCATCCATGAAGCTTTCAAATGAGCGGCAGGGCTCTATACTGAATATGCTTCAAATTTTGAGGCCCACATTGATGAGCCTGACAGACAGGGTGCGCGGCTGGCTTCAGTCTTTACTTACCTTCACCGCAACCGGCACCTGAAGATCCCTATGCTCCAGGGGGCGCTGGAATCCAGAAGGCCCTTTTGGTTTCTTAAACAAGACCGGGTGACACTTTTGAGATTGTTTTTTATGATGTAGTTTTGTTTGGGAGAATGGGGCGGGATCCTGGCGGCTAACCCCTAGAAACCCGTAGAAACCCGGTAGAAAGCCCGTATTAAACCGCAGCCCCAACAAAGAACATCGTGTTTGTGGAAAACATCCTGCCTTCTAACCCGTAGCTAAACCGTAGAAAGCCCGCAGGAAAGCGTTGAAAAGCGTGGACATTCTATTGGCTTTCGGGTTCAGTTCTGCATGCGCGAGTTCAAGAATTTTGATGGAAGTCAACGAAGTCGTGGGCAAAAAACGGTCTTTGCTTGAGCCCTCATCATGCATGGCATTGCTGCTTGGCAAGTGTCACAAAACTGGCAGCCTTTCTTGAAGGATCAAGGTGTGGTACTTTTGACTATTTAGGCCTGGCCTCCTGCTTTCAGATTGGAGTTGCGAATGACGAGTGGCGAGTGCAAAGCTGATTTCGTTATTTGCGCAAAAGGGGCGAGGGCAATGGGAGATTCTGAGGTTGAGATGACGCTTTGTTGAACGGATGATGAGTTGAAGGAATGTATGGGGAAATGCGTGAGATCGAAAATACGTGTTTTCGAAAACATCGTGTTTTCCCAACAAACATAGTGGTTTTAAGGCTCCTGGTATACAGTATTGATCAGCTGTGATTTGTCCCTGGCCAGACAGTTAGAGATGTTTCTCAACAGGTGTCGCAAGTAGACCCACCATCAGATTCCCTCGCGCCTGTCAGCATCTAAGCACCCGCGCCTGACATCGAACGGTCTGCCCTTAGAACATCGGCAAGCCTTCGCTGATGCGCGCAACTGCGCAGGGTGCGGCTTTTCGATGGGTCACTATGTGCATTTTTTGGATTACCCTAGGCTCAGCCAGAAGTTAGCAGGTGACAAGTGAAGCTCTCCACGCCTTACAGTGAGGCTTTAACGGGTGGTTTGAGGGCAAGTGAAACCAAACCCTACACCTAAACCGGGGGTTTGAAGGCAAGTTAGTTCAACCCTAAACCTGAACCCTGAATGAAACCCTAAAGTGAGGGTTTGAGCGCAAGTTAAGCCCAAAACAAAACGCTAAGCGGAGTGTTGAGGGCACCCAAAATTACGCTAAACGGGGGGGGGGGTTGAGGGCAAGTTAACCCTAAACCTGAACAAGTTAAGCCAAAGGCTGGAAAACACAAAAAAGCGCAAAAAAGTAGTTCTGCGACAACCACACGTGCTGTACTACGTGGGTTGCGGTTTGACAATGCGATAGCTTGACACTTCGGAGTGGAATGATTGGAAGAGGAAGCATGTCAAATGTAGACGGTTCCAGCCAAACAACCCCATTCGCATAGTTTCGCACCAAAATCAAAAGCTTTCCGGGCCGCAGCAATTGCATGCGGAGCGAAAAAGAACAGTCACACATGCTGAGCCCGCGCTCGCAAATGTCACTGAAACGAATAGCCACAGCGTTGTCAGTTGCATGAGGGACCCAGCTAAATGATCAAGATGCTTGTGATTCTACAACCTATCTCTATATATACATATATATGTGTATACAAACATGCATATGGGGATCAACCAAGCCCTCCTCTGGCTTTTTGTAGGTGTTGAATACGAACGCATCTTTGGTGGTTGCGGAAGACCGCGGAAGGGCGAACGCAGATTTCGCGGAAGGTTTTGCACTATCATGGGATGAAGCCTTGCTCATGTACTACACGTCTGCTGAACAGTTGCGATGCTTGAGCTGGGTCCGCTGCGTCCTAAACTGGTACGTAACAGCTGCGATGTTCAAACTGAGCTGCCAAAGCGTACTTCGCGTACTGCTCTTGTACTGAGCTGAGAACGCTTCCCCAAACGATATTTGCGCGATTCCGAAACGATGCCGATGCCGCCCAGTGCCGTGGGCAGCCACTTGTCCAGATCGAGCTGCCAAAGCGTCCTTCGCCATTTTGTCTCTCCAGTTTTTCCTCTCGGACTTCCTTACTTCTTCCCCACAGTGTTAAAACGCATGCAAAGGGTATGGGCTTACATGCAACTTTGGGGGGGGGCAGCCCAGGGGGGGTCAAGACACCTTCGAGTGCAACTCCGAGTGCCACGGATCCATTGTTCAATCCACCTGGCGCAATACACCATGGATGGCAGTTTGCATCGCATTGTTCAATGGCAAACTCCAAGTTCTGAAGATTTTTGGTGCACTTATTGGGATTTTCTTGGGCAAGAGGCATTTTTGACTGCGAATTGGACCTCTTCGAGCGTGACCTCGCCAGGACAAGCGCGTCCAGCAATTCCTGCAGGATGTGAGGCATGCGGCAGGGACTGATGAGGATCCAGGCAAGCCTGGCACATGTCGAGATGGCATTTCTGGCGACTGAAGCGCAGAGAACCTAGGAGTACTGCAAGGTACAAGTCGCTTGTCAAATTGATTTCTCTCGCACCTGTGCGCAAATGACAAACCGTATGCAACCAGCATAAATTCAAGAATGCAGGAGGAAAATGAGCAGTGAAAAGCAGGTTGCTCATGGCATCTCATTTGGCGATTCACGGGGCGCTTGCAAGAAAAACTTATTTGGAGGGCCACGTCACTGGCCAAGGGGTCTCGCCAAGCGTAGCCAACAGGAGCTTGTCTGCTTGGATTCTCGGCGGATGTGAGGCCTCGAACTTCCAGACGCTGGCTCCGGAGAGGAGATCCACACTGCGAGTTTGGAAAGGCTTGGGAGGGCTGTGGGGAGTTGAGCCAATTGATTTGTGGATTTAAATGTCCGAAGTGCCTTCAGCTGCAGGATTCGGCTTGGCTGCTTTATGGGAAACGGCTGAGGCTTGATATGCCTTCTTTGACTTCAACTTGCACGCACAATGCTTTGCACTCATTGCAAGGTACTGACAAGGCTATGCTAAGAAACAACAGGTGAGTCATTGGTGTCGTTGTTGTTGAGATTGGTCAGCCCTTTGAACGATAGCAATTTGGAGACTGGGCCCTGTGCCAGTTCCTTTCGCAAATGAGATGCAGGATTTACCTGTTGCTGGAGTAAAGAATCCCTTTGTAGCACTCAAGGCATGTCCTGAAACGAAGCTGGAGGCGGCAGTTCCCCAGAAAGCCTCGGTTCACTGCATGCTGCACCCCATCTGGCCTATGGGACAAGGCGGTCGCATGTCAAGCAATCCGGGTAACTCCCACTTGAAAGGCTGATTAGATTAAATTAGTGTCATGTGAAAATGTAGGTTGTCGAGCAGTTGTTACTCTTGAATGCAAAAAGCACCTCGGTGTGGACTTTGCGACTGTTTCTCGTTGCTCGTATGCTCGCCCTCGGACATTTGGTTTTTGGGCGGATGCTTCCAACCGCACATTCGAATTCACAAGTACACAAGGCTTCCGCCATCAATTTCTGTCATTGGCCGACGCAGCCCAAAAAGTTGAGTTGCTGAGCACTTTCATTTGCCAGGTTTGTGATGTCCGAGGAGCAGGCGGGCAAACCGACAGTGAGTGAGCTTGTTGGCTTTTTGCGGCCAATCCTTTGACTTCGCTTTGGTGGTGCTAGTTCCTTGAGATTCAGGGAGCTTGCCAGCAAGTCAAACAAATGTGGAAGGCTGTCATGTTTTGCCAAGTCCAAATCCCACAAGTACTCAAGAACAGCCGCGCAAAGCATGCACAAGTGCAGTGGTGGGGCGCAGGCAGGGTGCAGGAAAAGCGAAGGTTTGTTGCAGGAGGGGCGGCGGCAACCAACCGTCAAAGCTGGCCCTTGGGGATGTGTCGTATTCGATCCGTTTTGTAGGAGCGATTCACCTGTGTAACCCTCCTAGTCCAGCCGTAGTCTGACTGAGAAACAACGTGCTTGACATTCGACATGACTTCTCCAAGCTGGTTAAACCCCTCTGCTTCTTCGATCTTTTGGCCCCGGCCAGCAAATTTCGCCAAGCAGGGTTCTACTTTTTGAGTACCCCAAGATGGACTTAAGCCTAGGGGTTCTCCTTTTGGGAACCACCCCTGGGTTTGAGTCCACCCTGGTAGTCAAAAAGTAGAACCCTGACGCCAACAGTCGGAAGCCGAGACTTGAGGCTCTGGAAGTGCAGACAGCTTGGCGAGCCTATGTCGACAGCTTCAGCGACCCGGATGCTGCTGCCGATGCCCTCTTCGCAGCTTGGCACGGCACACGCTCGATCCTGCCAAGGCCAAATTGACATGGCTTGAGAAAGGGCTGTTTCGCGAGGTTTCCCATTTGACCGGATGGCTATGTTTGTTGGGTCATGTCCTTCTGACTTGCCCGTGGAAGGTAATTTTGCGAACCCCCCCGATGGGGACAAGTCAGTCTGGGTTCGAGCTCCGTTTTCTTGACTCCAACATGAGCAAGTTCTCACCGACTGCGATGGGCGTTGGTGGCAAAGACTTTGCCCAGTTCAAGCCCCTCGTGAACCTGTCATTGTTTTTGGGGAAGACCTTGGGGTGACCTTGAGGCCTTGCAACTAGCGCACACACACATGTCACACATACGTAGGCTGTTCAAGTACATAAATCTTGCGTGTGACATGCTCCGGGGTTTGTCTCACAAGCTGGCTTTTGGCTCATCCTTCGTGAACTCATAGGATCGAAAGCTACTTGTCACAGGCCTCATGTTCCCTGCTGCGACCGCTTGTGCCTGCACGGCTCCAGACTGCCTTCTACGAAGCCGCGCCCAGCCTGCAGCACTTGTTCAAGACAGCTCGCAACACCATGTCAGGTAGGCCGGGTCCTCAGCGTGGGAGAGAGAGACTGCACCAAACTCCGTACGTTTTTCAGCCGAGCGGAAAACAGGAATGTAAGTTCCGCCTGCAATTTGGACGCCCCAGTTCCTGCTTGTTCCGAAGATGTTGGGTGTGTGGCAGTCAGAGGAGCATTGGGATTGAGCAGCTTTATGGAACGGATTGGAACTGTTTACCACGCCAAGCCACACCGGCTCACTCGCCACCCCGACTGCCTTCAAGTGTAGGGGATTTTTGCCGGGAGCGGGGAAGTGTCTAGAGTCTAGAAGGTGAGAACCAACCAGCTCAAGGTGCTTGTGTCGTTGATTCCCTGTCATGGGTGAAGAGAGTGACAAGACGGACCACTTGGTGGAAGTGGCCGCTGATGGGTGTACCGGGTGGCGAGCATTTTCCGTCAGTTTTCCATCGTTTGACGCCTTGGCCATGCACAAGTGTTTGCTCATAAGAGGGCGTTTGTGGCGGTAAGAAAATCACAATGGATGACATGAAGAAGCAGTTTTGGCGAGGAACTGGTCATGGTGTTCAGTAAGATTGCCCGTATGAGGATTTGCCTAAAAGGTTCACAGTCCGACCTGCCTCATGCAGTTTTGTTGGGCTTGTCAACGCTTGTGAACCCCTTAGGTTGGTTGACCTAGCCTGGCGATTGGAGTCTAGGCTTGCTTTCGGTGGAAAACGCTCCCATACCGCTTTTCTGGATCTGGCAAGAATGGTACCAAGTGATCAGAACAAGCCAGTCCTGTAGCCTTATCCGCTTTGCTGGCACTCTGCTTAACTGCTAAGGCATTTTCCACTTCGAGACATGTGCCAAACTCGGAGTCCACAATGAAGCAGTTCTTGAGCAAGCGTACGCTTTGCTTCTTTCAATGCAAGAATGGCTTGAACTGTGAGCGAAACCACTTCCAAACCACGCGAAACAGCCTTTAGCAAGCCGGCCCCAAGCTGATTGTTGCAGCTAGTTCAACAGCACAGCCCTGAGTCAAGCCCCAACCCCGGGCTCAAACTACCTGGTTGGGAACAAAAGCCAAGCGTGTTTTTTTTTGTCACTCACCAGGTGGTCTTCCCGCCTCTCCCGCCAAGGTTTCTCTCGGGTATTGAGCAGATCATCACGGCCATGCCTGGTGGCCAGGAAACCAAATCCGTTGTGGAACTCATAGGCCGGGTTGGGTTGCCAGGTTGGGCGGTTGTTCGCGTCGGCAGCGTGTGTCGCAGGACTTACTGATAAAAACATGGCTGCTCTTGTACTGGGTGTGCGCTTCATGCAAAGTGTGCTAATGCTTGCTTTGTTTCTCATGAGTTTTCGCCTTGCGTGCAGTGTAGCTGCAACAAGCTGCGCAACGCCCGAGATCTCAACTTTGAGTTGATCCCAACTGAGCCTGAATGTGCCCCGTGGTGCCATTCGTCAAGCTGGCAGATTCCGGCCAGGATTTCGGCACCTGGATCTGGAGGTGAGTTCGCCTCGGGTGGCGGTCTTTCGGGAAGCCATCCTCGAGCTGCTCCAAGGAGAGCCACTTGGACGCGGGCACTTTGGTGGATGGATGGGCCGGGTGGCGCTGACTGGCTGAAATGTCAACTTCCAACCCTGAAATATATGCTTTGGTGACAATTAAAGACATCTTTCGTGCAAGAAATCAGCACCTCCTGAATGACGCGTATTTGGGGCAGTGCAGCCGCGGCCTAAAGCAAGATGTAGGGGCTGTCCCTCTTGAATATTCCGTACAACGCGGAATCGGCTCCCATTTCGATGTCCATGGTAAGGGCATGCTTGGGTTGGGGTTTGTGCTTTTCCCTCGGCCACCAACAGAACAGTTGATGCATGTTAATTGATGCTCAAAGCTAGAGTATCGACACATGCGATCACAGTACTTTCGTGATTGGAGCAACAATCCACGGCATTCCATCATGGTCGCGAGACTTTGTATGGCCTCTTAGGTCCGCATCGGAGGAATAATTCATGCGTTGGAGGTGTTGGCAGCACCAGCGCCGCCAAATAGTGGTCGACTGATCACGACGTTGTATTGATCAATCCCGTTGGTTGCGTCTTGGTTGCTGGAAATTGGCTGGTGCCTATAGATGGCCGTTGCTGCGTTGGCCTTTTGAACAGATGTCGCCCCCGGCTTTTGCCACGCGACCAGGGATCGACTCAGCTGAGGCTGGGTGATGGCTTGAGCTCCTTGGCCTATGACGGACTCCGGCGAATGCTGAACTACGCGGGTGGAGGCCAGAAATGGCACACGCGGTCCCGATACCGGTATCCGATACCGTCTGTTTGGTGCATTTTGCTTGGATGTTAGGACTTTAACTTTTTGCCAACTAATGGGTTTTCGATCAAACCACTAAAAGTTAAACTTTTAGCAGGGGAGCAGAAAGCAACCGAGCGTCAGGGGTTAGTCACTTGGAACCCAAACAATTGCGGGATGAAGCATTGAGGCCAATCAAGCCTACATGAGCCAAGATGAGATACCCTCCCACCAGGTAAGATGGAAGTGCACAGACCCCTGTAGAAAGACTACTTTCCTCTTGGAAATTCCATTTCAGTTGGTGGGAGGGTAGTATCACCAACTCGTGTGACCACGCAAATCACAACACACAGGGAAGAAGTTCTACAAATCGGGGGCACGAGTGCTCGGTAAGTACCCTCACATCATATAACATGGAAGACCATTTTCCTTTGCAAGATTCATGGGACGCCCTGTCAGGTTCCGCGTTAATTGGTGGGATAGTAGCTGATTGGTGTTAGCGACGCGTGAAATATGAGCCCTGCCCACCTGAGCGTCGCAAAACGAGGGGAGTTGAGGGGCGGCGGGGGGTCCTTGCAGCGCTTGCAGCCTTCGAGGGCTGCGTTGTTTGCACAGGCTTCATTTTCATGCGCGACACCTTCGCGGTGCCAAAGCTGCACAACGGGAGGCTGTGTGCCGCAAAGTATGTCAATGTCAATGTACTTTGCCGATTGAATCAGACTTGTTGGGGTGACGAGAACCCCTACTTGACCCATGTCAAGCATGGAGGTGTGTCGCATGCTCTTCGCACGCAGCAGCCCGAACTGCGCAGAATTGCGTGTAAGGTTGTATTCCACGCACTGAGCAAACCATAGAATGCATTCCAGCTAGCCAACCGGTCGGTCTTGGCATGCCAGAGGCATTTTCGACAATGTGATGAGGCATGGTCGCGAGGCCTCATTCATTAGCCGGGTTGTTCCAGGCTCCCGACAGATCCAGGCCTCAAAATTGTTTTTCGTGTGGCGTTCATTTGCCCAAAGCCTGGGCTGAATGCAAAGTCACCATCGTCAGAACCGGCTGTTAATTCACGAGCAAGGGGATATGATGTCACAACAAAGCACAAGGCGAAATGGCGCCCATGGCAAGCTACGGGCCGAACGTCGGTGAACTGCCCGGCATTCCAACTCAAGTTGCGGGTCTGAGGAGCGCCTGAACATCCTGGCCGTGAGCTGGGCGATCGCCTCTGGGGGCGAGGTCCCGGAGTTTGAGGACATGCATTCCGGCGAGGAGGGGAGCATGGCGGCATCAGAGACCAAGGAGGTGAAGGAGGTGAAGGACCCCAGTTTGGTGTTTCAAGTGCTCCACCCCTGCCAGCTTGTTGACTCTCCTTCCTAGTGGGAAACCGTACTCATCTCCACTCCAAATCAACTGTCAATTTCCCCCCAAGCTGTCCTGAACCAACCCTGAATTATATAACCCAAACCTCCAAAAGCACGTGCTGAAGGGCAAAGAGGGAAGGAATTGGGGACTGCAGATGACTGTATATGTGTATGTGTATGTCTATTGCGTGCTGTCGGTGGGGGGGTGCACACGTGCAGGTGTCAAGGTTAACTGTGCTCCGCATGTGCTGTTTCTAGTTCGCTGTCCTCCGATTCGCGCCGATTCGTCAAGGGCCAACATGGCGTTAGCGCGGGTCACTGGGCCAGCAGTCTTGTTCAAGGAAATGTGCAGCAACGTTAAAGCGGACGACCTGCGTCCCCCGTGCAATGACGGAAGCTGAGCCAGCTTGCATCTTAATGTTTCCATGATGAGCATTTGATCCATGAAACACTATTCAAAAGCATTCGCTGGATTGGAACATGCCATGTGTTGTCACTGTTCGCTGCTGACCCTGCGAAAGCTTGATCGCATAGATGAGTGCTGTTTGCAACTGGCAACCCGGCTTTCTGCTGGGACAAGTCCAAGACAAGACCTGCAAAACAATCAATAGCCTGGGTTAGTTTGTTTTGTCTAGAATTCTTCCCTCCACTCGTGCCATTCTGTGCAGGTTGCTTGCCAGCAGACTTTGGGTCTCGCAATCAGCGTATGTCATGATTTGGCGGAAACAGCGCTACTTGCCAGGTGGTAAGCCTAACTCTTCCAGAAGAGGGCCACTCCCTGGTAAAACAAGGAGTATTATCTATGCTTATGGCTGCTGATCCTGATTAGGTTCTTTGTCGCATAGACTGCAGGAAATGAATGCTGACAGGAATGGAACAAACCTTCCATGCCAGAGTTGCTCGAGGGATCAGGTGCAATAGTTTGTGCAAAGCCTAAGCCCAGCAAAATCGATCCCTGTTGAGGACTCTGACGCCACACCGAAAACAAATCTCAACATGGGCCAGCAGAGTGTGCCCACCACCTTCAACGAGATGTTCTGCTTCAACGCAGCTGTGATGGGCTTGTCCGATAGGGAATGGATGCAACTCGGCACAGGGCTTCGTGCACTTTTCTAGGTGAGGATAAGTCCTTTGTTTTGTTGCAGGCATGTGAGTACATGCTTGGCTTATGTGATGGAATGTATTTTGAAGCATTGGTGAAATGTCATGCTTCTGGTCGGTCCCTAGTTCCCTTTAGGGCAATGCAAGTTGGGCAAGATGTTGGATAGGTCAAGTGAAGGGCAATTGAATACGATCCTGCATAATGGACATTGATGTGAAGTAGGCACGTGAATATTGAATATCAACGATGTCGTTTGCACTGCTCTTCACGGTACGCCTCGAACAAAATATCTACTGTACCTTTACACCAAATTGTATCCATAATAATCAAATAGGGGCTTGTTTTGGGAAGCGGCCGCTACTTGCTTTTGCTGCCAGTGCTTGGCAATTAGTGTTGTTTGAGTGTGCTTGTTACAGTTAGTATTTGTTCGTTTGTTGGGAAGGTTCGCGGTTTCCCTTCAGTCCAACGGGTGTTAGCCACTGATGGCGCTCGTCGCACAGGTTTGAGGTGCTTGACTCCTTCGACGTGATCGTCAAGAGCATCGCAAATACCTTCCGACTGCAGGAGCTTCTGGCTGCTTCTCGCCAGTTCGCCCTCCGTTAGGCAACCCGTGAAGTCTTAGGTGTTTGTCCCTTGCAGCGGAAGTTGCACGCGGAAACAAAAAGGAGGCTGTGTCATGGCCCGATAGGGAGCAGCATCTTTGACCTGTATATTATCATGATTTGTGCGGAGGCCCAGGTCAAAACTTGTGCTTAAGTCACACAACAGGCCGTGCAGAAGAAGACTACAGTTGTTGGGGAGGTTCTATTCTGGATCAAGTCGCCATTGTTTGTGCAAGATGACGATTGCATGGTCGACTGTTCTAGATGAAGTGAGGTCACATGTCTGCACGCTGGCATTTAATGTTTCTAAGCAATCGTTTTAAGCGACACGGAGCTAACCGGATTCGCGAGAGAAAACCGGAAAACCGAGAAAACCAAGAAAACCGGAAAACCGAGAAAACCGGAAAACCGAGAAAACCGGGAAATCCGACAAAAATCGAGAAAACCGAGAAAACCGAGAAAACCAGAAAACTCCGTTGCTGGCTCTTGTGGCTTTCGCCTTTTTCATTGTAGCTTGCGCCTTTTCACCGTTCTCCCATGCTTGCGTTTCGCGTTTTTTCTTCTTCTTTTTTCAGTTTTTCACAATTTTCGGGTTTTCGCAGTTTTCGCAGTTTTCACGGTTTTCGCAACTTCGCGACTTTCACGTTTTCGCGGTTTTCGCGGTTTTCGCGGTTTTCGCGGTTTTCGCGGTTTTCGTTTTTCACGGTTTTCGCGCTTTCGTGGTTGTCCTGTTTTCGCGATGTTTGCAGGTGTTCGCTGCAAGTTTCTGTTGTTAGTATGCTTAATGGCCTTGTGTTTTTGAGCCCCAGCGGTCATAGAAATAAGATATAGGCAGATAGATAGATAGATAGATAAATCGATAGATACATAGCACGGTAACATAGAACAACATACGATAAAATTGGATAATACAGGACAAAATAGGATACGTTAAGACAATATAGAATAAGATAGGTTCAAATAGGATAAGACAGGACAATGTATGATAGGATTAAGATAAGGTAGGCAAGATAGATAAGGTAGCTAGTATAGATATGATAGGTATGATAGTCAAGGTAGATAAGGCATATGAGATACATCAAGTAGATAAGATGGAACAAGATAGTGAGATAGATACGATGCGACAGATAGGACAAATGGGAAAGATAGGATAGATAGGATAGATAAGGTAGATAGGATAGATAGGATAGATATGATAGATAGGATAGATAGGTAGGCGTTTAGGTATAATATAGATAGATAGATAGATAGATAGATGGATAGATGGATAGATGGATAGATGGATAGATGGATAGATGGATAGATGGATAGATGGATAGATGGATAGATGGATAGATGGATAGATGGATAGATGGATAGATGGATAGATGGATATGTAGATAGATAAGATACAGAGGGTAAGATAGATAGATAGATCCTTACATAGGATAAGGTAGGATACACTAGGATAAGTCGGGAGAATATAGGGTAAGGTAGGATAAGACAGGACAAGACAGCATAAAGCAGGATATGATAGGATAAAAAAGGCTAACACGTGATTATACATATATATGTAGCGATGTGGATAAATAGAGAAATACACGTATACATAAGATAAGATACGCTACAACAGGATACTATAGGATAAGACACGGTAAGATAGGCCAACATGGGTAAGGTAGGATAAGTTAGAACAAGACATGATAAGATAACGTATTATAGGATAATATACGCTAAGGAAGCAAAGACAGCATACTATAGAGGTAGGTAAGGTAGACAAGGTAGATAAGGTAAATTGGATAGACATGATAGATAAGGTAGATAAGGTAGATAAGACATACGATACATCAAATAGATAAGCTAGAAACGATTCATAAGCTACACACGATGAGATAAATAGGAAAGCTGGAAAAGGTAGGATAGATAGAATAGGTAGATAGATAGACAGATAGGATCAGATAGGGCGATATGAGATAAGATATGTTAAAATAGGGTAAGGCAGGACAAGATAGGATACGATGGTATAAAATAGGAGAAGCATGATACAATAAGTTAAGAACGGGTAATACAGGATAATATATTATAAGAAAAGACAAGGTAGGTAATGAACATAGGAAGATACGATCGATGTGATGCATAAGATCAGATAGCTAAAATAGAATAAGATCGATGCGATAGGTACCATGGGATAGATGGGAAAGATCGGAGAGATAGGATAGATAGGATAGATAGGATAGATAGGATAGATAGGATAGATAGGATAGATAGGATAGATAGGATAGGTGGGTGGGTAGGTGATAGATAGGATAGATAGGATAGATAGGATAGGTAGGTGGGTGGGTAGGTTGGTAGATAGATCGGTAGAGATAGGATAAGGTAGGAACATCTAGCAACATACAAGATAAGGTGAGATAACATGGGATCAGATAGGATAAGAGAGGACAAGACGGGATAAGATAGGATAAGATAGGATAGTAAGGCTAATACAGGAGAAGATAGAATACGATAGGATAAGGTCGGATACAATAGGAAAACTGGATTAGATGGGAGAAGACAGGATGAGGGTAGGATAGGACAAGATAAGATAGAGAGATTGGTAGATATATAGACAAATAGATCGATCGGTACATAGGATAAGATAGGCGAAGACAGGGTAAGACACGGTAAGATAGGCTAAGATAGCATAAAACAAGAGAACATATGATAAGAGAAGATACGGTAGGTAAGATAGATAAGGTAAACAGTATAGATATGATAGATATGATAGACAAGGTAAATCAGACACCTGATATGTATCAGAATGATACGATGGACAATCTACATTAGATAGATACAATGAGTTAAATAGGGCAGGTATGAACGCTGTTACAGATATGATATTTGGATAGAATAAATAGGATAGATAGGATAGATACGATCAATAGATAGATAGATAGATAGATAGAGAAACTGATAGATATATCGATAGATAGATAGATCGACAGATACATAGGTAGGTAGGAAGATAGATAGATAGATACATAGATGGATACAAATAGATGGATAGATAGAGATAGATAGAGATAGATAGAGATAGATAGAGAGAGATAGAGATAGAGATAGATAGATAGATAGATCAATAGATACATAAATACATAGTTAGGTAGAGATAGATAGATAGATAGATACATAGATAGATAAATGGATAGACAGAATATGGGATGAGTTTGCCGCCTGCCTTTTCAAAGGGTTATGCCCCGCGAAAGCTGGCATTGAGGAAACATGCGAAAGTTGGCATTCGCACGGTTTTCTCCGCTTTCGTGGGTTTTCGCGTGTTCACAGTTTTCGCGGTTTTCGCGTTTATTGCCGATTTTTGTTGTTTCTGTTTTCCGTTTTTTCGCGGTTTTCACGGTTTTCGCGTTTTCTGCCGTTTTCGTGGTTTTCGTTGTTTTCGGGGATTTTGCGTTTCGCGTTTTCGGTTTCAAAATCCGCTTAGCGCACGTCACGGAAACAAAAAAAAAAACCCTCGCACAGTAATGTTTGTTCACAGTAGTTGCGCGAGGTCACATACAAGGGATGGGCGATCATTTGTTCCCATGGCCCATGGTGCCTTTGTTGCATTAATTGGCAATAGAACCAGAAAGCACATGGCCAGTTGATGGATGAGAGATGATTCCAAGGTCTTTTTGTGCGTTTTTTTTTTTTTTGCCTGGGCACGTACCACATCAGCCTCCAACCCTCCGCCCAGCACCCCCGACACCCCCCCGGCAGGAAGAGTGTGACGTGATCTCCTTGCGCTTCGCCAAGCTGCCAGGCGAAGCCAACGGCCTGTCGCGTCAGCGCCGGCCGAATTCGGCGATGTGTGGCGAGAAGCGAGGTCCAGGGCTACCGGAGGTGCCACCCTTTTCACCTTTTCACATGGAAGCGGTCGACGTTCGGGGAATCGGTCCTGGCTTGGACCATTTGACTGTTAAAGGAACCGGTCCCTGTCGGGTTCCATGTTCATTTGGGAGGGTAAGTTTCCTTACTGCACTTCCTGTTGGTGGATATTGGGGAATGGAATACGGTCTTCTGAATGTCAAGGGAACCGCACTGTTGAAGGCCGTGAGTCTTGCGGGAAGGTGTTGGATGATTCATGTACAGGGCTTTGCCAGTGTGCTTTATCCCTATTGACATGCAGTTGTGAAGTCCACGCGCGCACGGAAGTGCAGGGGACATGGAGCCGACCACGGAAAAGTGTGGTTGTATAGTGGTGATTTCGTTTTCTTTCTGGCATTGCTCGCGGAGGGGGCAGATATTTCCCTGGACATCGTTTGCAGCTGGTTTTCTTGCAAGATCCAGGGAACAACAGTACTTACAATTAGCTTCCAATCACCACGGTGATTTTGCGAGTTGGGGCTGAGCCACACGCGAGCTTGCAAGACACAGGTTGCTTCTCTAAGACAGCCACCTCTTGGAATAGTCTCAACTGATATTCTCCTCAAATTCCTTGTGTCGGTTTCTGCCCAAATGGCCATGGGTCATGACCTATGCCTCCATGGGGCGGATGAACACCCATGTACCACCTATTTTGATTGTTTTAACCAGGGGTGCAGGGTTTTGACCCACAGCCATAGGTGTCCTTTTTGGTTGTCTCGGTCGAACAATGGAGGGCGATTCCTGGATTTCCCGGTGGTTTTTTTCGCATCTACCAGGGAAACCCATCTATTTCCAACCTAAAAGGACGGCTATGCCCACGGCCGGGGCCAGGAGAGATCCACCTCGGCGAGTTCAAAGCCGTGATGTTGGCCTCGCTGCGATCGCTGGTGCCCAAGGATCGGCCTTGGTGCTCGTATTCGCTTGGGTAGAAATAGATGGCACTGGTTGAGATTGGTTTGGTTGCATTTGTGTATCCAAAAGGTTATCTGGGATTTCAAGGCCTTTGCCTTTTCAAGACCCATTCACAACTCCCTCAGGAACCTCCGCAAATCGGAAGTGCTTTCGTCATGATTGATTCCCAGTCACGGGAGGTAAGGTCTACTTTGCCGAGCCTGATTAAAAAAAGTACCTTTTGAAGTCCAAGGAAGCAAGTGGCCGCAAAGAATTGGCCAAACTCAGGCATTTGCAACCCCACGCGTTCCGTTCCCTGCCGTTTGCAAACCCCCCAGCAAAAGCGCGCGAGGATTGGGATACCAAGCACGAGGTGGCCTGGGACTGGCTCTGGGAAAATGTGCAGCGGATTCTGGTGAAGGAGATCGGCGTGCCTTCCAGGAGGGAGTCCCGGCCAGCATGGGATCGTTCGAAGTGGTGATGATGATTCATTAATTCTGGAAATCAAAGCAATGCCGGGCCCGTGCAGATTCACAAATCCCCGAACAAAGTATGCTACTTAGTTGTTTGGCGACAATGATGTCCAACACATACAAAGTCCAATCTAAACCGCACATTGGCTCAGAAATACTCGAGTTGCGTGGGTCGTGCATTGACGGCGGCTTGGTAGCAGGACATTTTCAGTGGATTCAGGTCATGCCAATGACGAATCAAACCCCTCCCATCTGGAGCACCATAGGTCCATCAGCTAAGGAGCGCTTGGTGTCGCGGTATGTGGGGTCCTTGGAGCAAGAGACGAGGGAGCTTCTGAGCGGCAAGGTCTACTCGCGATTCTTTGCGACAGCGCCTTATCTCAAGGGGTAGTCTAACGGCCGAAGAGCCTCCTGAAGCGCTGCAAAGTTGGCTTTTGAAGTGCTAGGTTATCCAGCGTTTGCATATAAGCAGCCTGTCTTATACGGGCTCAAGCTCCGGCTTGAGCTTTCCACATCGACGTTCTGCTACATGTTCAACCCAACCGTCAAGACCTCCAAAGACCACTTCATCAGGGAGTGGATATGAAGCGCGCAGAAACGTGAGAAAACATGGAAAAGCGATAGGCCCCCTCCAAAAGCGATACGCGTAGAAGCCTGGAAAAGTTGTGACTCTCGAGTGCAGCTGCGGACGTGTACTTCGTGTATTACGCTCGTACCACATAGTCGCGGCTTTCATGCCAGACAGCTGCAGTTGTTTGAAACATGGAAAGCGATAAGCCCCCTCCAAAATTGCATGTCCTTTACGTTGGCTGTTTGTTCACACCGACACACACATGAGCTGGGAGCATGCTTTGGTGCCTGTTTTGGCTTTGCATCTTGCAATGCTGGTTTGCAAGCTTTGGGGGGCCACGAACGGATACGATTTAGGAGAGGATGCTGGATGTAGTTCATTCTGGCATTCAAGGCAACGGAAGGAAAGCGTCCGCGAAGGCTTAGGGCTTCTTCCAAGCAGGGCCAGCTTTCGAGTTCAACTTTGGCTCCGATTGCAACGTGTAGGGTTTCAGGGCCTAGGGCAGTCAAATATCTTACCAATATATTCAAGCACCTAGGCTGGTACAAATGGATCCGGTCCGATCGATGGAGTCATTCAATTTGGGGTGTGAATTTTTAAGATGAGCGGAGCCAGTCAATTTATGGAATGAGGCGCCAGAGGGGCAAGACTTCTTCAAGCAGTCCTCCAGTCGATTGCTCTTCATCGTGGAGCGGGTGCTGGAACTGACCTTGGACATGTACCGCAACCCTCACGGCCTGGCGCTCAGGAAAGCCAAATTGCAAGCTACTGCCTCAAAGTTGGGAATGTTTTGGTTGAAAGCACTTGGAAGCGCTTGAGATTGTTTTCGCGAGCCAGCCCAAAAACGAACTTCCGCTATGCAAACATGTCAGCCCTCGCTTGTTGAAAGGGCAGCTTGAACAGTCGACGCCTTATGATCGTTGGTGGATACCGTGGCAAATGGCATCTCTTCTCCCATGTTGCAACCAATGACCTGGTTCTCAAATAGAGCGCATGTTCTCTATGCAATGTCATTTTTAATCAGCCTCAAGCGCATCGGGCTGAATAACGAACGATTGGAGGCTCGTTTTGTTTTTGCAAACATTTGTCTCAGAAGCGTTTGGCCAGCGACTGGACGAAGCCACCGAAGAGCAAAAAGTTGTCCTTCAGGCAACTTTCGACCGCTCCAATAACCTAGGCGGAACTAGGGCTCAGTAGGATCAACCGCTCGCAATTCCATGCTGGAAGCGTCGCGTTTGAGCACGAGGACAGCTCCTGTTTGCTGTTCGTTGCCGGTGATTGAAGGGGAGGTCATTTTTCTGGCTGGACTTGCGCAGGCTTTTTCGGGGCTGAAGAGCAGCCCTGATTTGCTCAGGCATGGTGGACGATATCTCCGCGCTGGGGCTGCGCCACGTGGGCTACGGCATCCCCACGCACTTCTTCAACCCCTTTGCTGCCTGGCTGATGCGGTTTTATCGGGGGTGCCTGAGGTGAAGGCTTGTATTGAATTCGACGATTTCCACTTTGTCTCCTTGGCCAAGACTAGAGTCCGGGAGCTTGGGTGAATAGCTCTGCTTGAAAGGAAATCTTGGGTTCGCGAAGGGGGGTTTCCAGGTGTATCCCCAAGATGTTTACATGGTAGGGACATGTCAAAGGCAGCCTCCTCGGTTCAGATGAAGGCCGCACCTACCGTGGGCAACACATCCCACTATTTGTTGTTTTGATAGTGTCGGACTCCAATGGGTGAAACAACCAGGTTTGGGCCCCAAGGGCCCCTGTTGAAACATGTGAAGTAATTAGCGTCAAACATGGACAAATTGAACCACCCTTTGTTTAAGCAATCCTCCTTTGGGGAGGATGCTTTTAAGCCAGCAGCCGTACGTTTGCCTTCCCGTGTGGAATCCGAGGAAATCGAATTTGCATATCCAGATCCCAACGTGGCTCAAGACAAAGAGCGACAACTGCCAGACAACTTGATCAATCAGCCAAGGGTGTAGATGTTCAACCAAAAACTGCCGGGCGAAGCTGTGCCCACGGTTCTCAGGTCGCAGCCGTGCTGGACGGCCTGCGCGAGATCACCGAGGATGAGAAGCTGTGTGAAGCCTTCGGCTGGTCGCTGGGGCCGCTTGGGCAAAAGCTCGGGACCGAATCCGGCCGACTTTGTGGTGGTGTCCCCTGGAAATTGTCTCAAAACGGATCCCCGCGTTGACGCATGCCAAATGAATCACATTGGCCAGCCACTTTGGAAGATGCCTTTCGGAAACACGATTGGTTCAGATATTTCTTTGGAGGAAGCCAGCTCAACACGGTTCGTTCAGAATTATGAGGGGACGGGTGCAGGAGACTCAAGAGATAAACTCCTAACTTCTACAGTGTGGACCTTCATGATGCTGTGCACTTTCTGCTGGGGGACCAGCAGAGAGATATGGCTGCACAAGCACCGGTTGCTGCAGCAGCAGCAGCAGCGGCGGCGGCGGCGGCAGCGGCAGCGGCAGCAGCAGCAGCGGCAGCAGCAGCAGCAGCAGCAGCGTGATGTGCTTTATAGGGGGGTTTCGAACGAATGGTGTTGCAGACAGGGCTTGACCTGAACAGCAGAAGCATTTTATGCTTTTGTTTATTTGCCTGAACTGTTGGTGGGTGCTGACGCGGGGCAGAGGTGAAGCTTCGTGTTGTTTTGCCCGATTCGTGGCCCCGATTCCAAGAAGCTTGTGACGCCTTTGTTCAGTCGCCATGCTGCTGGCTGTTTGTTTTTTGGGTTTGCCAGTGACACAGCTTCAGCCAGCCGTTTTATGCCCCAAGCATGTTGAGGGCTCTCTGATGTCCTGCTATATTGTCAACCCCCCCTGCCACTAGCATGGCCCTGACAGGGTCCTGCAAGAGGAAAATGATCTTCCAGGTTTCCCCCCACAAATGCTGCGTAGCGGGAGGAAGGTATTTTATGTGTGTTCTGTGGGTTTGAACGTGGGCCTTTTCTACTAAGCATGGTTCTCATGGTGTTTGTCGGAGGTCATTCAAGGTCCCATGTTACACGTACACATTTGAACCTCGGCGGCTTATTGCCCTTCAGTATGACCCTCATCGGGCGGAATTATGCCCGCCTAGTTGGAGCCAAAGATTCTGAGTCCCATTGCCTTGTCCCTTTTTGAGCAAGTAGAATGACCTTATTCTTGTTTGCGGCCCCGTTTTTGCCACTTGGCAGTTTGCGTGGCAATTGTGTGCAGTGGCTGTGGCTACGCTGACTGCGCAGTTAATTTCGATGGCCTTTGACCGCCACAAAGAGGACTTGCCCAAATCAGGGGTCAGGCGCCACAAGTCCGGCTGAAGATGCGGTGCATTTGAGCCAGGCTGATCGCCCGGATGTTGGTGCGGACGATTACGGAGGGGTCCACCCTGGTCATGAAGGCCATCAACCACAACTCCCCCAAGCAGATTCGGAAGGCCTCAGCGAGGGCGCGGATGGGGCACATGGCTGGGTAGGGATGCCCTTAGGCCCCCATGTGCCTGTGCTTCACGAAAAGCAAGCAGCCGTTGGCATGATTTATGTGGACGGCAGAAAGCCTCAACGGCCTCACCTGTACCCGGCTTGACGTTTCCCGAACTCAAGTTTTTGGAACGACTACCCCAACGCTTGGTTGAATGAAGATTGAACGCACTCACAGAAACTCGAAGATGTTTTTGCTCTTAACATGGTGCCACAGCAAAAAGCTTTTGTTTTCTCGGGAGATCTCGGGAGTCAAGGCTTGAGGAGACCGTTAACATCCATGGACTGCTAGTACAATGCAATCCACATCTCGCAAACTTTTGTTGATTGGACACTTCAATGGGGTGCAGATTTGTGTGCTTGCGCTTCCAGGCTCTCAGCACAGCTCCTCGGAACCAGCGAGCCATGTGGGTCCTCAAGGTCACTGCTTCTCGGAGACAATCAACCTTCAGTGTCTCTATGTGCTGTTTCTCTGTGTTTGTTTGGCTTGGGTTGTCTGAAATGTGTATGTTCTTCCCGGGTGCGACCCTGCCTTCCTCTTGCGGCGGCCTCGGCAACCCTGCAGACTGGCAACCGCTTTCTGGCGATCTTTTGTGCACATGATCATGATGAAACATAAGTTTCATGAGGGGTCTTTCTCTGTGACGATGCCAAATTGCAGCCTCAAGGTTGGTACGCAGTCGATCTCGCCTTTGCTGTGGGCCATACAAAGTGGCAGCATGGAGGCTGGAGCTGTGCTGCGAGCATTTCTTCACACAAAAAGCGCACGTTCCCTCTCGCATTTTTGTGGTCTGACTGGCTGGCTGGTCTGACGGTTGCAAACCATTTGGCTTTCAAAGGGACCTTCTGGTGCCTTCCACATTGGTGGGTGATGGTAAGTGCTACAGAGAGCCGCTTTGGCTTTGGCCACAAGCTTGACTGATACCATGCGTCAAAACATCGAGGCGACCCGTGCAACCCCCTACCTTAGGCATCAACTGTAGCAAGCTCAGCTGAGAGGGAGCCAAGTAAGACGATACATGTGTTTGCTCGCTTTTGATGGCTGCACATCCACTCTCAAAATGTTGCGGTGTTAAAAGTACATCGCTACTATCAGTCCCAAAAAAAAACGGACCATTACCTCATGCCCGAGTCTTCCCAAATAATCGGTCAGCGGGCTGCTTTGCAGCAGGCGGCCAAAGCCATCATGCGGGATTTGCTCACGTGGCTTGGCGTGATGTGCCTAGCACCGCTTGCCCCTACTTGTAGTCATGGCTATAACCTACTTGCCAGGTGGGTTGAACATGCAAGAGGTAGATACTGCAAGTACACCAATCATGCTCATCCGCTTCAAACCATCGACCCTGCGAGGGAAGAGGCGCTGCGCGGAAGCGACAATGGTTTGTTGCGCAACATGTTGTGGTTTGCAACCTGGATTGTGCCCGAGGGCTGGAATGGCACACAGACCCTTTCCGAACGTAACAAAGCCTGTCCAACCCACAATGATTTCTGAAGACTGCCACCAAGCAAAACGTACCAATGCGCAAGCATGCGACCTCAGCAGACGCTTGAAGCCAGGGACCCCCTTTGACCCGCTTGGAAGGAGATCCCCACCTGGGCTGTTACAGTTGTGTTTATCGAGATTGCGCGTTGGCTGTTCCAAGGATCCGCGCTGATCGGGATCGTGCCATGGCAGCAAGAGCCAAAGAGCGTAAACTTGACACATCGCCAACTCATGCGTCGTTGCAACAGGTGGGACCAGGCCGAGGCCTTTTACTGTAATGAACGGCAGCATGACTTCGCATTGTTTCACTAAACGGGCGGGTCAGCGCAGCATTGCGTCGGAGTTGTGATTCAAGATTTGTCGCTGGACACACCCGTTAACATGCGCGAGGGTGCAAGGTCATGTTTGCGTTGGGCCCTAAAACATTTCTTGATTTCTGCAGTTTTGACAAGAACTGGCAAACTGGGTGGTTGTTCATTTCATGTGATTGACATTTGTCATATTTCACTGTCTTTGGGGCCTACCTCATTTTGGCTAGACGCGGTCAATGAACGTCACCGTGACTCCATTTGGAATGTATTGCAGCGGCCTGCGGGTTCTTGCCAGGTAGGCCCCAGGGTGCTCTTGAGTAAACCGGGATGTAGAAGTCGTGTCTTTTAAGACGCGAGCGACAAGCATTTAGATGTTTCCGAGTTTGTTTCTTAATTGTGCTTTTGGTCCACGCAAATGTTTGACAACTTGGGGATACGTCCCTGTCCTGCATTGTTTTCTGACATGCCCAGGATGCTCAGCAGAGCAGCACATGACAATGTGTGTGTGTGTGTGTTTGTGTGGGTGTGTTTGTTTAGGTGCCCTATTTGTACTGCCACACCCTTGATGCGCATCTGAGATTACTACTACGGTGTGGACGAGCTCTTCGAGAGGCATCCAGATATCGTTCAGGCCTGGCAAAATGGATCGCGCATGGCTGCTTTTAGCCAGTCCTCTTCAAAACTGCAACAGCCACCTGCTTGCAGCATTTCGAAAGGCTGGCTTCAAGCATGCGTTTGTTTCGCTTTGTGATGCATATCATTGCATTGTTCTCAGTGCGGCAACAGCGCATAGTTCCAGCTTTTGGGCTGCTGGTATTAGCCACGCATGCCATGCTGATGAAGCTTAGGACTGGCCTTTTGGGTTTGGTGGTGTTTGGTGGCTGTTTTCTCTTTTGTGTTGTCTTGTTCACGGGTTTTCTTTTTTGGTTTTCCCCCGCCTCTTCCCGCAGGTGTCCCCGAACAGAATTTGCGCTCGGTGTCATTGATTCGGCTCGCCGCCAGGTTATCACGGCCGAAGCCCCGGAACTGCTGGAGGCCGACCAAAAGGAGCAACCTTGACTGCTATTGGGTTGGATCTTTAGACTTTAACTTTTTGTCAAAATCAAGTAGTTTTGCACTAAACCCCCAAAAAGTTAAACGTTTTGCAGGGGGGTCAACAGCAACCAAGCAACAACTGCCTTTTCCAATGTCCAAAACCCCAACTCTCCAAGAAGCAGTAGTTGAGTGGAGGTGGCATATGTTGGTGTTTTGGGAACAGTTCGATGGTGATTACCCTGTTGAAATCAGAAGGCCTCCTTGGCAAAAAACAGCTCTTTACGACCCTTCACTGAGTCTCCCTGTTTGTGAGCAATTTATTGTTGCATGATGGCCCCCCGCACTGTCATGTCCAAAGATCATATTTTGCCGGCTGTATGTTAAGACTTTTCGCTCGCCTCCAAATGGCGTGCGTATCCTGTTGTCATCTGAAGTGGCGCCGAGAGAGAAGCAGGACTACCTTATTGACGCGGGGCTTAAGATGGGGGGGGATTAATTCAGAGAGCTGGTGCTGCATATGCCTTGCCGCGTTCACTACCAGCACTACTGCAAGGTTTCCCTAGTCAAAACTGGAGCAGGAGCTTTTGCGGGTCAGGAGCCGGTTTGGACACTGGCATGGCGCGTCTACAGGTCCTTTTGCCCTGTCGCACAGTTTTTTCCACCGTGCCGCAAAAAAAATGCAACAATGCTTAGTTTTAAATCCAGGTCAGAGTGGCCGTCATGTTTCAATTCTTAAAGAACTGATGCTTTGGCAAATTTATGGGACAAGCACAGAGCAGCAACAGTGGCACGTCATTCAACAAAATACTTTTGCATCGATGCCCAGCACGTGCTGAAGAGCTGATGGCTTTTTGCCTGGGTGTTCCCCGGGAGGTGATGCTCGACAAGTTAGTGTGGCGCTCTCGAGTGGTGATCGGCGGCATGCGCCGGGCTTCTCGGCAAGCTATTTATTTGGACTCATGATGTGTCGTGATTATGTATTGGTTGTTTGCCCATTCGGATAGACCGCTTGCTTGATTTGTGAAAGTAGTTGCTTGGCTGCAAGCTTGCGTCTTCAGGGGACGTTCTATGGCGGCCGGTCGGTCCAGTCGTGTCGGTGTTTTTTTGTTTTGTCCATGTTTGTCCTCCTTTTTGGAGGGGGTCTCCGGTCTCCTTGTTGAAAACAACCAACAAGCAAGTGCTGTTTTTCCCATGGCCGCTGGAGGTTTGTGGCTTTCTTTGGCTGTTTGCAGTCACGTCATCAGCCTTTTCATGGCATCCTGGCTGAGCAGCAATGTAGATTGACTCCAGGCACCCTGAGTGTAAGTCACAAGTTTCTGGGAGGTGTGAGGGGCATCTTTCAGCTTGGCCTTACTCTAAACGGCTTGGCTTCCAAGAAGCTACTTGCATTTGCGCAGGCCAATATCTTTCTGAAGCACCTACTCATAGACCCCGACGGCAACTTCGCAGATGCGATGAGCTGGATTTGCAAGATGCAGGACTGTAGTCCGTACGTCCGCACCCACCGAAGATTGAAGCACAAGTAGATTAGACATGAATAATGCATATATAGGTAATTTATCAAGCAATAGTAATTGACCAATGAACTAACAACTGCTCATGACAATAGCAAACCTGAGGCAATTATTAGTTGATCATAAGACACGGCACGCTGAAAAATCACACGCACTCTGAGACCCTGCATTAGCGTCGTGTCTTGCCTGTGCAGCGAGCCATTTGTCTCGGACGCACTAATCCTTGAGAACCCATGGATGGCACGGAGCTTTCTTTTCCAAACATGAGCAAGCAGATCTTGCAAGTTGGTAGGGATTTCAGCAGTTCCCAGATGAGTCCTACATTTTGCCAAATAAGCAGTCTTTTCCCAATGTTCAAGACTGTAACCTGAGTGACTCCCTACGGAATCCCACGAACATGAACTGCAATGCCAGGACCTTCTCTGACGATTGGGACCACTCAATCTTGTAATCAGCAATTGGGGTCAACGGAGCCAACCGGGGTGCAAGTTCTGAATCCCTTGGTCCCTTCTGAAGAAATTGTGTGGGCCATGTGTGGGCTTGTCGCTTGGGCCATGTGGTCTCCTGTAAAGGTTAGCTTGGCCTTGCTTTTGACCAAGCCAACACTTGCAATCATGCGTGTCTGGATTAAATATGATAGGTACCCCTGTGCGAATATGCAGTTCGGCTCTAAATCATGGAAACACCCTTTTGAGGGCCCTTCATATCCCTAACTCTAGACACGTCATGACACGGGTATGCAAGGCAAACGCTCCTGCCATCCAGGACCCGGTCATCGTCACACATGACGTTTTAGAGCCTTGGCTCTGGATCGCAGGTTGCCATGTCAGTTCCATCTGATAGCGAACTATTGACTGACCAAAAGGCTTCCCTTGTTAAAACAATCTTTGACAGGATTTGCTTGGACCAGAAGAATGATCATTCGTCCGAGCACATTGGCAATTTTCCACAAATGGGTCGGCATTTGTTTTTTGTTTCTTCCGCTTGCGCTCTGCAAATCCCTCTGCCCCGCCAAACCCCTAAGCTGCCCCCTCCCCGCCACGTGCGTGAGCAGCACTCATGTTGCCTTTCTCCCTGGCCCAGCCCTAATTGCGGCATTCCGGGCAAGAGCGCTTTTGCATCATTCATGCTGGCCTCCTGCCCCGTTGTACTTTGACAAGCACGATGGCATTGAGGTATATGTGGCTAGTGGCTCAGCATTCGCCTGGACCCGCAAACAGGCTCAGGATTCTACAATGCTCCGAAACAGACTGGGTCAAGGCTTATGGTTGTTTATGCTGTTGTTCTTGGTTTGTGCGTGTCCATGTGATTATGCTTATTCTTATGCCATCGTGAAGCATGTTTTCATGTCTCCTTTTCCATGAGTTTGCTTCAGGAAAAGCTGACTGACTTGGTGTGGAGCAACGTGATCTACCGGCCTTTCTTGCTCAGCAAGGTGTGGCTGCTCTTCACCTTGGTGGTATTCCTTTTTAGCCAGGCCGGGCAGGCTTCTCCTTTGAGTTTTGGACGGAGTGAATGGATGGGAGCTGCCCTTTGCAAATTCACGAGCCCAAAACAGGGGTGCCCAAAAGGAAGATGCGCCACACATCGGTTTTGCAGCTTCCATCTTAGTCTGTGTGTCAATGATTTGCTTTGGGCCGGTTGTTTTCTCTCAGCACAAGGCTCCTGACAGCGTGGGTGCAAGTGAGAGCAGGGTTGCTGCCTGGGCCGGCGCACCTACTCGCACTCTCCTACCTCTTCTACGCCCCTCTGCTCCACGGATTGTTTCACATTGGCTCTCATTCACATGTTATTTGCTTTCGCTTTGCATTCCAACTACTGCCATAGAACATCCGAACGGTTGAACGTAATGTTTCATTGCTGTCCGCCGGCCACTTGCACTGGAACTGCGTTCCACTTGATGCTTATGGGTCGGCGTTTTTTCAATACGAAGCGCCTCTCCAATCAAATCCGATGAAACACGGGAATCGATGCAAAAGCGTTGTTGTTTTTTTTCTTTTTGTTGGGGGGGGCCTTAAAATTCAGGCTCCGTTGGGCAAGAGTTTTATTGTTTTTAATGAGCTACTCCTATCAGTTTGTCGTTTCCTTAATGGGGATCATCATCGAATTTTCGCAAAAAAAAAAAAAAAAAAAAAACAACTTTGGGTGAGGTAGGCTTGTTATTTGGAATAGGGCCAGCAGAAGCATTGTTTCGAGTTTTGCAACATGCACTTTGGATGTGTGTTGAATTATTTCACATATGCAGATTCGATTTCCTTAGGCTGCTTGTTCTTAGACTTTTCGGATTGGCCTCTCTTGTTTCTGGCACTTCCACCATTTCCACTGGTTGCCTCAATGACCCCCGTTCCTTGCCAATGTGAGCCGGTCAAAGAAACTCTCACTTGAATGGGCAAGAAGCAGGCGATGCTCAAAATGGCTGTGCAAGAACTATGAAGCTCAGTGGGCTTTTTGAAGTTGATGTCGCTCGAGTGTTGGTCCCAACCAGTGCTGCATGCCAGCGCACTTTGCGCGAGGAGTGGATCTTTGTGCGTTGGCCGGTCAGAAGATACCCACTGTCATCCACTGTCTACTCTTCCCCTCACCCACTGCAAGCACAAAAAGCGAGTGAACGACCGAAGGGGATTGCATGCGCCAGGCCATCCTGAAGAACTGGCAGACCGAAGGGGACGACTGGAGTTTGCGCCTGTCCACTTTCCTTTGCCGCTGCTTTGTCTACTTTGCCGGCATGCTGGAGCTGCCTGGATGCACCGTCGAGTGATGTGTATAGTGCTTCACACGGATGAACACAAGCTCAGACAGACACATGCTTGATCTGCAGATCATGGTGTCCGACACGTTTAGTCCACGATTCATGTCTTGCCTTCAGGATTTATATATTGTTTGCGCGCAATGAAGTTGCTGTCGCAATATGTCCTTTTCAGTGCAGGAGGGCGAGGCTGCCTCTCAAGCTTAATGTCTCAGGAGTGCGGGCTCTTCAGAACGTGCTGTGACTTTGCACGTATCGTTTGCCATGGCATTGCGCTACCAGGTAAGACCACGACTTGGCAGATGTTTCTCGGTGTGTGAGTGTGTGAGCGCACATTTGGCGGCACACAAATTGCGTGCGTGTGTGTGTGTGTGAATCGTATGTGGCTATGACATTTGGGCAGGTACACGTCATCCCTGGGGCGGGGCATGATTCCCCAGATAGCTTTGCCTGTCGCGGTATCGCTTGGTCCTTCCAGAAGGACAGGGGCACTAAACACAATAAAGGGGAACAAACACCTGAATGCTAGAAAGGCAACGGCCAACAAGTGGCTTCCTTTTTTTCTTACAGCTTCACTTGGTCCTTTTTGTTCACATTGTGCTTTTGTTTGCCTGGCGTTAGAGTATTTCATTTGTCGGACATATGATTCAGCAGTGCTGGTCCGTCAGGCATGCCTAGTACTCTTCCTTGTTCAGTGTTGGTCTTTTTGTTTATCCATATGTTTACATCTCATGCTTGTTTCAGTTTGTATTTGCTCCTTGCTTATACGTGCGCGCCCGACTGCAACACACCTGCTTTCTCAGCGCGAGGGCCTGGACCGGGTCAGCATGAGAGGCGCCATGAGTTGAGCCACGAGCTGAAGGCATTTGGCAGCCGAGGCTGGTGTACACCAGGGGCAAGGTGGCGTGCAAGGCCATCAAGACGGGCGACATCACCCGGGTTTTCCAGATCCCAGTGCCCACGAAATACGTGTCAGCAGCTTTGGCATGAATCAGTCCGTCAGCATGCACTTGTTGTTGGCAAACAGGGCCAATGAAGAACGATGCCATTTTGCTCCAAACGAAGCGCCGTTGAAAAGGCACGTGCCCACAAATCAGTCTATGTTGTGTTTTAGGGGAGGCCCGGGTTAGTGCTGAGACAACAGGAACTCCATCTATGTATAGATCTACGTTTGACGAATGTGGCTTAGGAAGGACAAGAGTTGTGCCAGTACTGCAAAATCAGTGGGTTCCATTCCACCTCGGCTACTGAAGAGATTGATCCATTTCAGGCTCCACTGCCCCAAATGCGAGCATGTCGGAATGATTTGTGGTTTGCCTTGGCCCCGTGTTTTGGGTGTTTGAGGTTTGCTCTGGAGGGGTTCGGAGCACGTGCCTGGTGGTGAAGATTTGGATACTGATCGGCGAGCTCTTCCCGAGTTCCCTGCATGATGTGCAAAAGCCTTGGGCCATGACATTCATGAACTGTCACCCGCATATCCCACACGCTCGCGTCCCCCAAGCAGTGGCCTTTCCAGGAGCGAATGAGCAACTGAGGCGAAGGTACGTTTGGCGAGTCCATGTTTAAGCTTGAGGCTCCGTCAAACCCGCTCGACGCCAAGGATTGGCAGGAAGGGGTCAGCGTTTTGCTGACGCTGATCCTTATCGGGATGTACATGGTAGAGCCCATCATGTGCCTTGGTAGATAAGATTTGGCAAAGATACCATTGTAAACGGTGCCCAAGTGTCTATCACATTGTTGGATTTTGTTTCTTGTTTGCCCGGGATTGCCCTGAGATTTATGCGCATGTACCCCAGCTTCATACGTTGAAATGTTATGGTCTCGGCAGCCTCGCCATCCGTGAGCAGCTCATTTGCTTCATGCCCTGTGCCACAGCTTTTGCCCAGAAAGCTTTGAGTGAGCGAGGGGGAGTCGATGGCATGTTGTTGCTCGCTCGGGCTAGTGGGTGTCCAGTATCAATTGCAAAGCTCCAAGCTACCCCCTCAGATCCTCAAGATAGATCTTGTGCCTCCCCGGTGTACAATTTGAGGGCCCGGGGCTCTTGCAAGGACCAACTTAACATCCACCATCAAGTTTCCTTCTGACAAAATGTCAGCCAAGCATGGCTGATTGCCCAGCTGCTCGCCATCTCCATGGCTTCGTATCTGCCTCATTTGAGTTTGATCCTGCCAGTTTACCACGAAACCGTGGATGGACAGCAGAAAAAGGGTTGCCTCTTCTCCCTTGGCCACGTTGCAAAGTCACCTGCTTTGGCACACGTAGGTAGGGTTGGTTACCTTTGCCTTGTCACAGCGGTGCACACCAACTGGAAAGAATCAACTGACATAACATGCTACTGTAACGGGGGAAGGGGTCCGCTACTCCCTTGCACGCGATTGTGTGCACCCTTCGAACAGGAAACGTTGAACCAGGGAGCTCTTCGAAGATACTGTATTGAACCATGTTGCGGCTGTGTGCAAGCTAGCCTTTGTTGCCCGTCTGAGCGTAACTCACGTTGCTTGCCCTCTAGTGATAGCATGCTCAGCCTGCCAGCCTGCAGCCGCCTCGAGGTTTTGCCTGGACAACTACGAGGGCGACTTCCAAGGGGCCGGGCTTTTTACGCAGAACTGCCACTCGCATTGACGAATGGTTGGGCCGGTGGCGATGAACGCGTCTTTGTTGTTGCGCCTTAGCAATCGAACACTGCCTTGACTTCTGCGGCTGGAGTACGGGACAACACTCGAAAGCGGTTGATCGGCGTGTGCTTGTGCGTGCGCTTGTGCGTGTGGGTGTGCGTGTGCGCGCGCGCGCGTGCGCGTGTGTGTGTGTGTGTGTGTGTGTGTGTGTGTGTGTGTGTGTGTGTGTGTGTGTGTGTGTGTGTGTCTTTGTGTCTGTGTGTGTGTGTGTTCAGATGTCTGGAGCTGCCTGTGTGATTGTTTCACCCAGGGGCATGTCCACAATTCACACACCATTCTCGTGATCTCCCGCATGCCATTTGATGACATGTGCGGGGCCTGTTGCCAGCTATGGTTTAGGGGGAAATGGATAGGCTGTCCACCTGGGTCGCTGGGGTCGCTGAAGACGACTTGCAGAGTTTTGCCTCTGAGTCGCGATTGATCGGTGGCGCCAGCAAAGATTAGCTGGTTTTGTGGGGCGTGAAGGGAGGGTGGGAGGTTGCATTCACTGGGATTGAAGACAAGGCAAGCTGTGACTTGACCACCGGAAACTAGGCAGATGCTCCCAGGCCTAAGTAAAAAGGGTTCGGCAGGTGATGAAAGGTACAAACAGGTCAAGGCAAAGACCTCAAAGCAGCAAGCAAGTTCACAAATTTGTTTGATTCATTGAAGCCAATGGGTGCTGGCTCAGACATGAATTTTGGCACTCTGGGCACTTGCAGAGAAACAAAGCTACGGTGCTTCTTGATTATTTCTGGCCGTTTGGCAAGTATTACAGCCTTGACTCGATTTGGCATAAGACACAGACCGTTCAAACGGCCTTCTTGGCTTCAGCTGTGGGATTATCAATTCGTGAGACGCCATGGACGCTGACACCGCCAAAGCGGACGAGGGCTCCGATGAAGTGTACTTTGTTTCCGTGTCCTATAGAGGAGTGGCATATGAGGTGCCTGAGCCTTGGCTTGAAAAATAGGCAGTTGGGCGGGAAGTATCTCATGAGCTTGCTAAGGTATCAAAAGCCATACTAACTAGCATAGTGCCTAAAGGCCACTATTATATTATGGGTTGCTGGCACCTTTCAAGCTGGGTCGTTGATGCGTTCCAAGGGGGACCTCTGACTTGCGCACGTGCGATGGATGATGTGATCTTTGACATCATGTGAACAAAGAGAGCCTCCGTGATTGGGAGCGTTTCTTTCAGGAAGAGTATGTCCTGATTTCAGGCAAATATGTTTCGTAAGTGTCCGCCTCACTTGCTGATTCCTTCCTCAACTTATCCGCCTGCGTCAGGGGTTTCTTTTGTTACTGCTTGATTCAACAAACCAGGTCGAAAGAACCTGACCACACTTGCAGAAGCATTTGGTTGCACCATGTTGCACCCCTTGCAACCAACATCCAACAGTAGAAGACCGCGCCGAGTCTGAGTTTTCAATTTGAAGCTAACTACTAGTAGGACTAGGATTTTGGGTATTCCCCCTCACCTTCTTGGGCACGCGGCACTTCGGAACCTGCACTTTGCTCCGTCCTTCGTTGTGTTGTCGGAGGCGCCAGGCAGCTTTTGTTCGCCATTGATGCCTTTCAATAATCGCGTTTCGGCCTGTGTCAGGTCCAAGGGGATGACCATCTTGCATCCATCTTCGACTTCGTCCAAGAGGCCCTGGACTTCCCCCGGGAAAACTGCAAGCTGATCTGCAAAGGGAAGATGCTGAGACCAGACAATGTTGCCTGGCGCGCTCATATAGATTATCAAGTGGGGCGTGCGCGGGAAACGTTGCCGATGCGCAGGGCGGCACAGGGTATGTTGTAGTGCTTGAGCCATGCGAAAGGTGCATGGCACTTGACACAGCTCGCTTCGCTGGGTTGAACAGCGCCATGCCAAGTGCCTCGCCCGTTGCCAGGTTCCAATGGCCAATTGCTCAGTGCCGGTACCCCATGCCAGACTTCTGCAATTCAGCCCCCAGCAAGGCGCCTTCACTTCTCCAGGGTGAGTTTTACGGGTTTGTTGATGGTGTTTCCCCGATTTCCGCTGGGCAACTGGGGTTCCCGGCAACTCTGTTGCCGCCTTCGCCACTCCTGGAGCGCCTCTGGCCACTCAACACAACTGCACGCATGCAAGACTCCGATGCAGATGTGTCCACGCATCTTGAGGATTCCGTGGGATTAGCTGATGTGCTCACTTGGACCCCTGCAACTTCCTCCAACATGGCTGTGGATCAAAACCCTGTACCCCTGGTGAACATCAAAAATTGGTGGCAGATGGAGGGAGGTTCATCCACCCCAAAATGGAGCCATAGGTTATGCAACCCATGGCTACATGTCTCCCCCAGAAATCCCCCCGGCCCTCGGGCTGGTGGGTTTTGATCCATCGGAATCCGAGGACGGGCTCACGGTGTCGGAGGCGGGGCTGGCGCCGGGGAGCAAGGTCATGCTGGTGGCCAGCTCTGCCCCTTGCGCCCCATTGGGATTGGCCGTCAGGCGCAGGCCACGTCGGACGTCAGTTGGGCGCATGGAGAAATTTGGCACCACAAAAATCTACCCAGGGGTCACCTCAATGTTCCGTTTTTGTTGGGCGAGTTCCAATGGAAAGCAGCAGTAAAATCGCGAGCTTGAAGGGGGTATTCCAGCGACCACCATTTTAGTTTGGGGCTTGCACACTTGAAAAGGTGCACGCAGCAGGGTGGGGAAGAAAACAAATGCAGCACCATTGCGGCTTAGTAGTAAATCAATGCAGACATCACAATCAATGATTTGGCGAACATTTTGAGAGCAAGCTGTTGAATTGTGTGATGTCCATCAATTCTACTGCTCCCAAAATCTGGCCTTTGTGACACAGTTTGTGTGCTCGCGTGTCCTTGTGCCAAGCCAGAGCTGTTCCACCAGATGTCTTTTCATGGTACATGCTGACCTTTACGTCCCGGCCTTCCTGATATGCAACATAAGCCAGCCCCGCCATTCGGCGCTTCATCAGAGTGGAGTGCCAAAGCCAAGGCTAAAGACGTGTCCTTCGTACAGTCCAACCGGTCAGATCCACTGGTTAAGGGCTTTGCGGAGGAGTGGGGTGGGTGGGTGGCTTGGCTTGGCTTGGCGTGGCTTGGCTTGGCTTGGCTTGGCTTGGCTTGGCTTGGCAAGGTGGGTTGGTGGGTTGGCGGGTTGGTGGATTGGTGGGTTGGTGGATTGGTGGGTTGGTTGGCCGGTTCACTGGTTGGTTCAATGGTTGGCTCGCTAGTTGGTTGATAGGTTGCAAGGGAATGCGCAAGATTGGTTGCGTGCTTGATCAGTCAAACATGGGGACGAACCGACGGTGGAAGCGCAACATTTTCCCAGCATTACCAGGAGCGAGGTTCAGCTACTGTACGTAATCAAGGCGGGCGTGTTGTGCTGCATGTTGCAGTTTAGGATGTTGTAGCGGCTGATCCAAACCGACACTAAGCCCACCCTAACTCGGGTAAACCTGCTTCAGTCCCACCCAATACAGATTTGCCATGAATTTCCGGCCTTCAATCAGTCCTGCAGTTTAGCACAGCTTAGATCAGCGAAAAAAGGGCCTAGGTGCTAAGCAACGGGTCTGGCTAAGCTTAATCATGTCCAAACGAGACCCCCACAGTCCGGCTCGCCCACTTGCCACAGGAGGAGCGAGACGAGCAGAGCAGACGCAAACGTGCACGTGCTGCGCTCTCGGCCTGGGGCACCAAGCAGGAGCGACCACCCGGACTGTCTAAGCGACCTTGAAGCGACGAACAAGAACTCAAAGCCCTCCACCATTGTTGGGGGGGGGGGGGGGGTTGGCGCAACAAAAGTAACGACCCTAAATGGCGGCAAGAAACCGAAAGACGACAGGATGTTTGGATTTGAGACATTGAGGTGGCTGGCTTGCTAACAATGCAGCTCAAAGTACTAGTTCCCACATTGTTGCTGTGCAGCCTTGATGCATCATGAGCAGCTCACATCATGAGCATACATAGTAATACAACATGTCAGGGCTAGTTGGTCGCCAGCTCCGTGGTGACGCGTCTTCGGAAGAAGGGATGCAATTGATAGGGTCAGTGTGAAAGGATGGCGGTCGTTGTGACGTGACAGCGCTTATGCTCCACATTGGCGACTAACATGTTAAGTTGTGACAAGTTTGTAGCTGTGTTTATTGAGCAGGAAGTGAAGGTTGGAAAAAGCATTGCCGAATTCATGGATGCTAGTGAAGGAGGCAGTTAATTAGACCACACCGGCTGTATCCTTCCTGTTTTTGCGCAATGCACCGTCCAAGGTGTTTTCAAGGCCAGAGCCAGCATGGCAGGGTGACTTGACTGCTGGCCATTATCGTTCGACGCGTCAACTCTATGACTATCAACAACGCGAATTCCTGCAACTGTGGCAATTTTCGCAACCCCGCACAAGACACAGTAGAAAGCTACAGATCTCCCTGGCGGTGGTTTTGGAAAGTCGTTTGATCAGGCTGGCTTACCGGTTTGTTTCTCTTGGAGGGGCGATGGATCATCCCCGGGAGATTGATGCGACCTGCCAACATCGGCTTCGACAGCGGACATTTACAAGCAACAGTTATCAACAACCGAGTTTCCAGCTTGTTTGCAGATTCAATTTGTTGGGCTTTCTTGAATCTTGCAGTCAGGCGTATTTCACGGGTTTGTTGCATTGGCCAAAGTATCTAAGAGACGACGACCCTGCGCTCCGCGAGGATCCCGAGTTCAACTTCGGCTCCATTAAGGCATGCGGCTTGTTTGTGTTCTTTTTGCCGCGCCGGGTACTGTGCAGATGTAGAAACACCCACCCCGTGCCGCGCACCTTGTAGAATTCTCATGTTACAAAGATTTGTTAATGCGGACTGTGAACCAGATGGACCCTAAATCGTGTAGGAAACGGGAGACATGGGGAATACAAGTGGTCAGAACACGTGGCCCTGTGCGTGAATTCGGCCGGTCGCGCATTGTTTTGTGCCTATAACG